TTAGTTTTCTGTGTTTTGAGGGGTTTGTTTCTCCGCACTGCCTCTGCAGCGAAGCAGTAGACACTAACCGGCTTCACTCCCAACCCTGCTGCTGCTGCTGCTGCTGCTGCTGCTGCAGGGAGCGTGTGCGTGACTCTGGCGACTCTGGAGGGGGACGAGTTTCTGGATCCTTCTTGTTTGGGATCTTGCGCGGAAGTTTCGGAAGAAAGAGTTGGAGACTGGGATTACATTTTCTTTCGAGGCTGCAAAGCAGCAAAAGCGGCGACGATAGTGCTGCGGGTGGGTGGGGTGTACGTACACCGCGCGGGGTGTACGTGGAGGTGCTGGGGTGTACGGGGAGGTGCTGGGGTGTACGTGGAGGTACCGCACCGGTTTTTCGCGTTTTTTTTCGTTTTTTTTCGTTTTTTTGAAGTTTTTGGGAATTAAATGCTGAAACTAACCAAAGAATTCGGAAGCAGTTTGGAAATTTGGTTGTTTGGGCCGTTCAGGGCGCGAACGAGTACATCCTGGACGAGCTGGAGCGGTCGCTGCACGACGCGCTGTGCGCCGTGAGCCGGTGCCTGAGCTGCGCAGCAGTTTGCCCCGGAGGCGGCGCCGTTGAAGCCGCCTTGTCCGTTTATTTGGAAGACTTTGCAAGGACTTTGGGCAGTCGGGAGCAGCTGGCAGTTGCTGCGTTTGCAGAGGCGCTTTTGGTGGTGCCGAAGACTCTGGCGCTGAACGCGGCGCTGGACGCGACGGAGCTGGTGGCGCGGCTGCGCGCGGCGCACGCGCAGCAGCAGAGTGTGGGGCGGGAGCTGGGATCGGGATCGGGGGCGGGATCGGATCCCCGCGAGCTCCAGGGCCTCGACCTCGTCGCCGGCAGGCTCTGCAGCCCGCTCCTCGCCGGAGTTGCAGAAGCAACTTTTTCCAAGTCCAAATGTCTCAAGTTCGCGACGGAGGCAGCAGTGACAATTCTGCGGATCGACGACTTCATTCGCCTGGCCCCGGAGCCCGAGCGCAAGGAAAGAGAATAGACTTTTCGCCGTTTTCTTTCACTTCAGTTCTTTCTTTCAGCTCAGTTGCAGTTCCTAATTGTTTACTTTTGTTCAAATGCGCTGAAAGAGGGGAGCAAAACGAATGGTCACTCCGCTTGTGGCGAAAACGGGGGTTAACGCGAACTGCAATTCAACTTCGGCGGAAGGGAAATGGACATTGCAAAAGTGAACAGTGCAAAAAGTGGAAATTAAACAGAAATGCTCTGCAAATGTACTCAACTCCGGGAATAGATTCGACAAAGAAAGTCCAGGGAAAAAGAAATATTTACAATGGATATTTTCCTGTTCTGGGGTGTACGTACACCGCTGAGGTGTACGTACACCGCTGAGGTGTACGTACACCTCAGCGGTGTGGGG